CGGTACCACCAAAAGTACACGAACGTTGTGCCGACAGGTGAAATGAGCGATTAGGCACAATACAAATAATACGTTGTTCGATGTCGTACAAGAGATTCGTGTAGTATTCCTACGCACCTCGCGTGTTTTGATTACCGAATTAACTGGTTATTATTCGCGGGCATACTCTGTAAAGTGATCATAGCTCGAGTGTTCTCTTTTCACCTTCAGTTTCGGCCCACACCTTTTCATTAGTCACACTACTGTAGAAAAAGCACGACGTTTATTTAAAAACCAATCTGACCGCTTGTAATACATTTAGCCGAACCCGACCCGCGTAAATGGCTCAGTCATTATAATAATTATTGCTATTACATTTTAGCAATGTTATATTAGGCGGAATTAATTATATTTTCATTATGTGCGAGCGCGCGCGTGCACCTCCGCCGCCGCCGCCGATCGGACGTTGATGTAGACGTGATGGGCGCGCCCGAGAGCCGGCAGACACCGGGGCACCTTGGACGGCGACAGTGACAATGATATACGTTAACTGCAACAGGTTCCTGGTGGTTCGCCGATGCCACTTCGTGTTCCGCCCCCCGCCAACGTTCATTGAAGCCAAGGAAAAGTAACGGTGGCCGCGGGAGATCACACGCGCCAAAATAATAGCGCCGCCGTAACGCGGTAGTCTTGGCAGATAATAAAAAACAACGACGATGTTAAATATCTCCGTGTCGGGAAGTTGTGAACATATTGACGTGATGGGGTGGCAACATTATTACTCATAGTGCTCATCCCATTTCCCCGAGTAAATATATTACGAGTTTAAGTACTGCATAACATCGAGTATAATATATATTGTTCAGCTACTGGCAATAAATAAGGTAAAAACAAAGCGATTAATCAATTGGTAGCATAATGTTGTGTTTGGATAAAAAACCGCAAGTCGCGCAGCATCTAACGTATGCTTCTTTGGTTTGTTGGAGTATGCAAGCCGAAATGTACGATTTCAATGGCGGTTTTAATTGATACTAAAACAAGAGACACACCTTTGTAAATGTTTTAGCGATTTTTCTCTATCCAAAAATGTAACGATACAGTTGAAAAAATATTGTCAGAAATCCGTATCATGTGCAATGTAAACATGTCCAGGCCTCGTCCATTCTATTCGAACGTCGCACGACGTCAACGACCTCGATTACACAACGTTGAAGAAGTGCCGTCGTCAAACATACATGTCGTAAAGGTCTCAGTAGACCGACACATACCAAGAGACTAGAGTTTTTAATCGACTACCGCCTGGTTGCCCATTGTATTGAGATTTGAATAGGTTCAATAGCGTCACCGGCCACAACAACAGTATTACAAAATTGTTATTATTACTATCTATTTAGAACAAACCAGATATCATTTATTTACTCAATCGTTTCAATAAAATATAATCTCGATCCGTCTGGCAAGGGCACACACACACACACATTCACTACATGACAATAATAATTACACCGATGCTCGACCGTTGTGAAAGACGTGTAAAGTAAACATTACGGTTGAATACTATTCGTATGACTTAGTATTTGAATAATATAATTTGGGACGGCGGTCACAACAAACTGGCAACAATATTGTCAAAAACACTGTGAATACTTAGTAAGACTTCACCAAAGGTACAAGTAAAATATTACTATAAACTTATACTTGAATGTGTACACTTTAATTTGCAATTTAATTTCAATTGTTGTATGAAAATTAAATTATAAATAAACATAAAATCGTAATTTTACAAAATACTCATTAAAACATAAATATATAGTTTTAAATTGTTATATTTTATAATTATTGGTAGAAAAAGTAGCCTCCATCGCCTTCTTTGAAATGTCTATGATGATGAGTTAAACGTTATAAGTAAANCCTCCATCGCCTTCTTTGAAATGTCTATGATGATGAGTTAAACGTTATAATGCAATATTTTTAAAATGTTAAGTAACTTAATTTAAGGTAATTTTATAATGTATTTAAATGTTAAAGGGAAAAATGTTTAATCTGACCCCTGTTTGTTAGCGTGTTTAACTGCAAACATAAATATTATTATTTGATATCGAATGGAATATAAAATAAAATAATTTTTCAGTGTAATATGTAAATATTTTATAAAATGTAAAATTTAAAGCGAATAGCGTGCCAATTAAAGATATCGAGATTTCTTCAGCGTTCAACTCAAGTGGGTAAAAAAAAATATAAATTGTATGAATACTGACAAATCTGCGTAGATTAAGTATAAGTAATATTAGATAAAGCATGTGCGTGACACCAAGACGCGTTTGTATCGATATTTTAAAATTAGTAATCAATCCAAAGTATAGATTCGTATAACTAAAAGCGCTGGTACAAAACCTGTTACGCACTAATTTTTTGAAAATCATAGACAGGATTTTATACTGTAGAAAGTGTCTGCTATACTGGAAAAATTTGTGTCTTTTAAACACAATTTTCGGTTGAGTTTTAATAAAAAAAATTTTATCTTGGTTGTTACGTTAAATATGAAACAAATTTGCATTTCGTGTTTTGTATCCGTGCCTTTTTTTTTACCCCCACCCGTGGGTTTCCTCCTACAGAAATTTTCCTCAAGCCCATCATCGAACTGTTTAGTCAAACGAAAACCCGTTCGGTCGGTATCCTTTGCTGACCAATGAACTTATTCTAAAAGTTAAGAACCTTCACAATTATAAAAACACCTATCTTGAAAATAACACAGCAAAAAAAAAAAAAAAATACAAGCAGTTTCTTTTAACAAGTTACTCGTGTGTCATATTAATATTATGCAACATACTTTTTGTACAAACGCATATATTTACTTACGGCACGAGTTTGTGTGGAGACAGTAAATAAAAGAGGAAAATTAAAACAAATCTTGATATTCGTTTATATAAGACTAAAAAACGAACGACATGATCTGCTACATGTTTCAGTCAACACACGATTATTTTACGGCCCATCATATATTATCCCATAGAAAAACCGACCAAACACTTTGTTAGCTCAGGTAAGTGTTGTTTTTATAAATACAATAATTTGTTTGTTATAAAAATTCACTAAACAATAATGTTATGACGCATTGTTTGACCGAGATAACGAACAGAATGTGTTTTCAAAAGTAAATTTCACCTTTCGGCATATGAATGCGCGCGGCGTAGTTGTAATTTTTGTTATAATAATAATAATAAAATGTATTAAACCAACCACGTGATAAAAACGAACTAAAGTGAGTGAAGACGTAGGCCGAACGCCAGTAATTACATAGCAAGTTGTCGTGTACTCGTGTGAAAATAACGTGAAAAATAATATATTTTATAATAGCACATGAATCGCGGAACGGCATTTTCCCACTAAGGCTTGTACACGCACATTTTACGAACCATTTGACCTCGTTCGACCGATCAAGGAATAATAACTGCCGGTAGACCCAAGTAGATCGGTGTTTATTAAATATGTATCATTCATACCTACAAAAAAAAAAAAAAAAAAAAAAAAAACCGACTACTGTGCGATACATGACTTAAGCAGATCGTTCCGCGGTGGTGTTATGTGAATGGATATGTTTAAGATTACAAACAGCCGAGAAGCGAGTAATGCGAGTGAAAAATCTGTAGGTACTCGTTAGGGGAAAATGTTATTATTATTGGTGTGAGATTATAAGAAAATGGCATAGACGGTTTTGGCTGGCCGGTTTTCGAATTCATATTATTCAATAAAGAAAACAAAACCGTCAGACTTTGTACCCGCGCGCGCACTCATAACACACACACAAAAAACCATCGTAACGATAGTAATAATATTATAATTTAATCGCATAATAATCGAATTGTGTCTTTGATGTTATGACTTATAATAGTCGTCACGGTGTCATTGATGATGGTTTATTATCTAATTACTACTAACCTCACTGCAAATACTCATTTAAGCGTTCTATTTTATGTTTCGCAGTAGTACAAAGTTATAAATTAATTCACAAAAAATACAATATTTTTACAAAAGATAAATTTAATAACCCACTATTTAATGAAATTTTTTGCTGTATTTTTTATGTAGAAAAAAATGAATTATCACTGGGTTAGTATAACACAGAGGTTGTGCTAAAATTTCTAACGCAGTATCTCAAAATAAAGAATAAACATCATCGACTGACAATTATACCGCATTATTAATGTATATAATTGTAATATTCTATAATAGTTTAAAGTTTGAATTACACATTTGATAAATAAAATCAATGCAAAACATGAACTAATAAACACGGGTGCTATACAAGAAGGTGTTATTTTATAGCTATTATAATTATAATGCACAGTTACTTGATTTATAGTGAATAACAAGTCGTCGCAGCCAAAATAATTACTTTGGCAGGAAAAACGTTCTGAGGTAGTATAGAATTTTGAAGGTGAACATTAGTCTATCTAATAGTTTTTATAATATACTATACGAGTGTAAAAAAATAATAGGCTTATGGCCAAACCTCATAACCGACTCTTAGACATCCGCCTGCCTAGAAATAAGATATTGAAGATGAAGTGAGGTAACCGCACGTGTACTTCACCCATACACACAGACAATAGTAATGTCACAGTGCATTCACAATCATTCTAACGTGGTAAAGTATATTTTATATAATATTATTTTATTATATATATATATATATATATATATTATGGATACGTGAAAGAGAAAGAAAGAATTATGTAGAATGGCGAGACGGAGATAAAACCAGTTTTTTTTTTTTTTTTGAACAGGTGTTCGAGGAGTTTTATACAATAATAATAGTGACAATTTCTCGAAATAAAAACAAACGGACGATAGTTGTCTACTTAAAATCGACTTGAAATCTACAAAATAGATTTTAATAGTTATCTGCGCTGTATTTTGATGTCTACCACGGCACAATTCTAAACGTATCACTCGCAATAAAATCAGTAGTAGTACTACTTGAAGTTTTATTAATAACAATAAATAATAATAAAACTTACCCGAGTTGACTAAACGTATCCGCGTCCGGAGACCTGACATCATTATCGGCAACATTAACAACTTCAACGTCGTGGACGGTGGCAACAACAGTAGCGCTTATAACAATGAGCCGAAAACACTGTAATTTTTCATTAAAAAATTATTAATTAATTTCTGAATTCTTCAAGTACGGTGTCAACGAGGCCGTTAATTCATAGACTATTTTACATTTAGTATTATTCCACACGACTCGTACATCATAAAAGTTTGAAATTACTTAAATAAAAAAAAATTGTTTTTTAAAAATCTGTTTCTTGGTATTTAAATATTATGTATTAATTTAATCAATTGCGTTGTTTACATAAAAAAACAGTAAATATACGATGAAAAATGATGCGGATGCAAGTTTTACGTGGTTTCAAATAAAGTTAAAAAAAATAATTAAAAAAATGTTCGTGAAAAAAAATCAACAGCAATCGATTGACGTGTGTACGCCGACAAATTGTGGTTTTTACTTACTGAAGTATTGGCGGAGACCGCGGAGTTTGACGATAACGTTCGTTCACGGGCAGTTATGTACGTCCACCGTAGTCATTACACACAAAAACACACTGGCATACTCACACCAAGTCTGTTATCACCACAGCAATTCGGGAAAATGGTTGTTATCAGCAACACGGTACATAACCTTAAAAATATTTCAACGGCAGCGGCGGCAAATTCAAAACACTCCAATTTTGAAAATAAATCAATTGACGGGGGAAAAGTTGTTATTTTCTGGAAATGTTTTGTCTATTTGTACACAAGTTATTCGTCGTACGGGAATTCACGAGTTGGACAATTCTGAAAATTTAGTGCATTTGGGTAAATTATTCCAGACGAAAATTTTAGATACTTGAAATAACACAGTAAAAACGGACAAGCGCGACGTCCACACAGCAGAACGACTACTATGCGGCAACGACGGCGACTACTTTGGACGAATGCGATGACGGCAACGGCAGCAACGGCGGTGGACGAACGAGCTGCGACGACGATGGCGAGCAACAAGTTGTTACATACACGCACGCATACACGAGCACTTCCTGAGAGTAATATGATTACTATTAATAGAACGGTGGCCTCGATTGTTGCCGCCTAGTGCATCCAGTTCTTGATAACGGGGCGGCGAGTTCGGTAAATAACACTGTTGAAAACGCCATCTACCAGATGGTTTAATTTTATCACCCGGTTTATGTTCAGGTCCGGTTCAACAACGAAAGTGCAAAAACTTTATCGAAATTTAACTGTAAAAAATAATGTTTTCTATAAGTATACTTGATCAAATATTGATTATCATAGCAGTATTAAACTAAGACATTTTTTTTATTTGAATGATCGTGTTCTTGTGAAAATCAACAAATAAATCTCATTCACTTTAAATTCTAGTTGTTTGAAAATTGGAAACAATGAAATTCGTAAATGTAGGTATTCTTGATTGCTTACAATCCTGTTTTGTAATACTAAAAATACATTTTATATACCGTACGATTCAAAAATAACCAACAATAATGTCGTCAACCGTTTAACATTAACGAGCAATTAATCTAAATACTTTTTTAATTTGTGTTTAATGTATAAAAGGAACGTTTATATTTAGCACGTTCATTAAAAGTCCATAGGGGTTTTGATAGACGTTGCATTGATGCTTAATAATCAAAATTGTATTACTCTTTATGTTTCAATGACATTTGTTAACGCGTGGAAAAGAAAAAAATGTTGTTATAGTCGACATCGTTCGCAAAAGATGTGTTGATAAATTCTCTTTAATTAGGCGGAATTGAAAAAAGTAATGTATTGCTGCTGTTTTTAAATTGATGTTGCTGCACGACACTACTGTGAACTATCGAAATTTAATTTACTTGTTCACGACAATAACAATCGATTCCATTGGTCAGTATCCCAATCTTACAGTAATAATTGACTGCTGTGGTAAGTTTGTATTAGTTACTAATAGTAAAGTACTAAAATATATTTGTCAATCAATTCCTAAAATGAATTATATAATGTTTATGGTCAGATTGTTTAACCTTAAACTAATTGAAGTTGTGTAGTCTCATTATAATTAGGGATTCATTATTCTTAATTAGACAAAAAGATGGTTTTAAATGTTATTTAAACTGCTCTTCGAGTTTATTATTATAATATTAAGACCTAATTTAGAACAACTTAGAACTGTTGGTCATACAGGTTAACAAAATTAATTAATTATAAGTTACATTCAACGATATTTTCAAAATAAAGTTTAATTATAAATACTTCAATAATAATTAAGGAGATAAGGTGAAAATTGTAGCCATATAAAGATGAATAGAAATTTGAAAAATTGTCAACTAAAACTTCAATTTTGGTTGGGGTATTTTTTTTGATATCAATAACCTGTGAAGTTCCTATATCTCTAAGTTAGTATATTGTACATGCATTGAAAATCGTAAAAATCCATTAGAGTATTCTGACTACTTATATTATTTGGAAAATAAAAATATTATTAATGAACATCCTAATTTTTTTAATAATAAATTAACTGATGTGATATAAATGGTATTTAAAAATTGAATATTAGTATATTTACTAATACCCAATCAAGTCTTTTATCTAGTTATGTCCCTGTTGAATTAGATTAGCATCACATTTACATTCTTGTTAATGTAATTTATACATAGCTATTATTAGTATTTTTGCTTGTACATCTGTAGTGAAGTATAAATGGAATTACAGGTGGGTTGTTTTCTCTAGTATCAAGTATAAATCATTTTTTTTTGTCAATATGGAATATCATTACTGCTATCCTTGCGATATCCACAAATGGATAACAGAAAATATTATTTTCACTTCCGTTATTATTTTTAATAAATTAGTTTATTTTATCTTTTAAGATCAGAAATATACATTATGAAAAAGTTTCAAGAATATAATGTAATGTTTTGTTATACCCTGACGAACTTGATTAAAAAAAATATGAAAAGAAAAATGTTCATACATAATATTTATAAAATTAATTACCTGTATTTATCTTAAGTTTTGGTAATGCACAATAATATAATATAGGACTCTTAAAATCATTTGTTAATTCGGTTGTCATTACAAGCTCATATAATTAAAAAATTACTTTGTACATAATAAAAATTTAGTCAGTATTATATTGTTGGCTAAATTATTTGACTAAATTCAAGCTGTACATTACAATTAAAAATGGAAGAATACAGCCTATAAATTATTTTTGATACAAGTCGGACAATAGTAATGAAGTTTATATAAATTAGTATTTGATTTCGTATTTAAATATCGTTGTTACTCTTTAGAAATGAAGGTTATGTAAAACTTATACAATATTCAATAATTATATTCAACAATATTCATAATTATATTTAAATATTTGTTAAACAAAATTGTATACTTGGAAGTACCCTTGAATTAAAATATCACGAGACAAATTAACTATTTAAACCATTATCATAATATTAATAGTTGTTAAAATAATTGATAAATAATTTGATTATCGTAAACTTCACAAATGGTGGAGGGGCTAAGACCCTCTAAGATTTTGCCGGTAGTGTCGATTACGCATAATGCATTTTTTTTAGTCATGCTTTACCATCAACAATGCAATTCAGCAAACCAAATCATTTTTTAAAAAATATTATTTTTTGTTTCATTGTTAATTTTTTATTCATTGAAATTCGTATTCTTTACGAATATGGACAAAAATTCAATGATTAAAATTGTTTACTAGCAATTTTTTTACAACCATATACTATAAAAATTAAGTGCAATATATTTTTATTATCTTTGTATTGTGCTAAAGAGTAACACCATAAAATTTAAGTTCTAATTATTTTTTTTCGTTTTATGGTTAATAAGATAATATAAACTAAAGTGAAAAAAATATTTGTTTTGTCTCTATAAAGACTGAGTAAGCAGAGAGTGTACACATGGATTATAGATACTTTGACATCATCTCGAGCTGCATTGATTACACTTTTTATTATACTAACTACAACGTATACAATATACGAGAGTAAAATTTGCAGATTGCAAGAAAATAGATAATGCATTTTTTACCGATGATAAAATCATTGACATTGTTAGAACGGGTATACGAATTTTTGTTTTTACTATTATTGAATTTTTTGAGCTCATTTTATATGTATAGTATCATTTTCATAGTTATGAAATATTGTTGATATTATATAATAGTCATTCAGTATTAATATTAAGTATAAAACCAGACTAGTGTCTAAATATAGATAAAATATATATATTACTATTTATAAACTAAGTGATTAATTTAGCTCCGCAGTAGGCATACGAATACATGGAAGCAATGTTATAGTATAACATTGTAGTAATATAAAATTAATGTTATGTATATTTTGCAAAGAATTAATTTTACCCTTATTATTTATTTCCATGAAAATAATTGTATATTACGTAATCTATGGGTTTCAATTAAGGTTATAATATATGATTAACTAATAAGTTAATTTTGTCATCTTACAATAAAACTGGAAAAAGTTAAATAATTCTTTTGTACAGACACATTTTAACTTTTATTTTTAATGTGTATTTGATTTTTTCTATGGAGTGACAAGGAAGATAGGGTTATGTGTTAACCTTATAGAAAGTATATTTTTCTATACTTGGAATTAATTTATAATAACAAATATTAATTTTTGTCATTTTCTAAAAAAAAAAAATAGTTATTTAAATAAAAATATTTAGGGGTCTAATAAGAATAAAACTTTTTGAAATTAAATATTTTATAGTTAATTAATAATTTGTCTGAAAAAACTCACTGTAGAGAATTGCTTTGTTATTATATTTTACCATAAAACAGATAAATTGTTTTTTCTTTGCAAATTTTATTGGATTTACACTATGCAAGATAAAATTTATGTCATTAGTAAATATTAAGTTAATTAGACAACGTGACAGGCGGCCTGTATAACTTAATCGAAAACACGCCGTATACATATATCTATGTTCAATTCCTTATCCGTGTATTGAACTACACATGTTGTTACAATCACACGATAAAAAAGAAAGAAAACTAATTTATGTAGATACAGTTTCTAACTATGATATGAAATGAAATTTTATTTAATCCTGAAGGGGGGGGGGGTTAAGTGTTTAATAATATGGTTTTCAGAAATAAGTGTTACTTATAGGAATAATATTTTTAGATAATATTATATTATAAAAACCTATCACATTGGGGTCGCGGGACAGTGGTGACGTGGCATAGTTGGGTCCAGTATACATGATATCTGACAGTGATTAAAATGACTATCATAAAAAATGCTTCGATCAAAATCTGTAGATAATGATTAATTTCAAAAAATTAATGGATTATTCCAAAAGTCACATGATTTCCTATTTCCTTACTTATATTCTGATGACAAGTTTTATGATTTATAAGTGTAATTAATGAATTAATAAATAAATAAATATATAAATATAAATAGTACTCATCTTAAAAAAAATATAATGATCCATACATTTTTCAAAAAGATATAGCTTTATAAAGTTAAAATATAAAAATGGATTTTTTTAATAAAAATCGTATTTTTTTTATTAACTTTAATGTTCGTTTTCACCATGAAAACAAAATAAAGTCGGAACATTTTTTTTCATATTAAAATATATTACATAATCTTTAGTTTAAAATTTATATAAATGTGTCAGACTTTCCGGAACACTTACAAAAGTTAAGTTAATTTTTTGTGAAAAAATTATCATTTTGAATACCCCCATGTTGGTAGGTAAAGGGTCGAATTTATAAAAAAATATACAAATGATATACCTCATGTATCTATATATAAAAAAAATTAAATCGATTTTGTCATTTTTTAAAAAGCTATGGCAATTTTAATTAAAAAAAATTGTAAAAATGTCGAAAATTAGCGATTTGTAAATTTGTCGATTTACATCGAATCTAAAATATATAACTATTCATTGTATTATGCTTATTATTTAATTGAAATTTTATTTATTTAGAGAAGATATACAGTTTATTTTCTTTAAATTAATTGTTTTA